TATTAATTTTAATTTATCTCAAGTCTTGGCTTATTTCTCTCTTTCTCCATTTTTTTTTTTAATTAAACAAGCTAATGGTATTAGCCACTACTAACCGTTAGTATCCAATCATGATACTACATGGAATTCGCCATATTGTTAAAAATTTTGGCAACTAACGACAACTGACCGATGACTACCTATATCCTATCGTCCTACTTCAAGTTGCCGATCATATACTGCTAGTATCTCAACGTGATACTTTCCGACCGCCAGTTGGAGAATGCTTCTATGATACCAAAAATTCCAGCAACCGGCGATCTCAAACTGTACTATCATCATTTCTCTGACCATAATATTTTTTAGAAATACAAAAAAACAAAACCGAAATATTTTTCTCTCATAAAATTTCTCTATATAATGGTAGCCCATTTGAATCTAAAGAGTTCACCCACATGGATAGGCCCATGTTTGCGTTTGGGCTCTTTACCTCATCTCCCACTGGACCGAAAGTGAAAGAAAAAGAGAAATAGTAGAAAATAGGCCAATATGAAAAGCTTAAGAAAGTATATAGGTCAATTTTTAATTATAAAAATTAAAAGGTCATAACTTGTCAAGTTATAGTTCATAAACAGATAAGTTATGAACAAACTTGTCAAGCTATAGTTCATAATTAGACAAGTTACGGACAATAACTTGTCAAGTTATGGTTCATAACCATACAAGTTATGGACGAAAACAATAATTTGGCCTATTAATTTTAATTCATCTCAAGTCTTCGCCTATTTCCCTCTTTCCAATAAAACTCTCCGATTCCCCTCCAAAACCTTTGCAATTTTTAACGTCGCGTTTATTTCACTGATTTGAGTTTTACTATAGTAAAAAGTTCTCATAAATAATTATATTAAAGTTTTTTATTATAGTAAAAAACTCACATAAAGTCACATATCAACTTAAATTAAAAACTCGAATCAACGAACTAAACGGGATCGTTACTCATTTACTAAACATTAAAAAGGGCATCTTTAATTTTAAAAAGATTCATTTTACTTTGTTACCCGTAATACCCTTCTCTCCGATCTCTCTCTTCCCATTACCTCCTGACGACTCTCTCTCTCTCTCTTCGTGGCTTCCTCCTCTAAAGATCGCACAAAGCCACCATAGATTGTGATTCACGGTCTTCTTGCGATTTTCGCGATGGGGAAATCATGCTGATACGATCTAGAGAACGAGATCTAGTCGCTAGCACGACGGCGGCGGCTTCAGGTGTGGCATTTGTCGACGGTGGCTATTTGCAGTCATTAATGGTTCATCTAGAGCTCTTTATGCTATGTTTGGTAGGATTGATAGAAAAGAGGAAGGAACGAGAAGTGAAATACCTAGGTGAAAGAAGTAAAATAGTTTTATCTCATGTTGTTTGGTAGAAGAGAAAGAAACGTGAAAAGAAAATGTCAAATTTAAAGCATTTTACAATAATACCCTAATACAAATAAAAATATGATGAGTGGTGAAGGTTAGAATTGTTATTTTACATCTTATTTTTTTGTCAAACTTTTTCCCTCATATTTTCTTCCAAAAGTTGGAATGATTAAAAATTAGTGGGCCTCATAGATTTTTGTTTTCCTTCATTCCTCATTTTCTCTCTATTAAACAACCTAAAATTTATTTTCTTCTACAAAATCCTTCTTCTATTTTTTTTCTTCTTTCTTTTTTACCCTACCAAGCACACTATAAGGAAGGGGCAGAACCCGTTCATTTCACCGATTCGAGTTTTGCTACAGTAAAAAGTTTTTAAAAACATTCACATCTAACTTTTTTTGCTACAGTAAAAAGCTCTCACATAAAATCACATCTTAACTCGAATTAAAAATTCGAATCAGCGAACTAAACGGGCCCATAGTTTAGTTCGTTGATTCGAGTTTTTAATTCGAGTTGA